GAGCAAGGGCAAGAAAATGGAAAGTAATATTTCAGGAGCGGCAAAACTGATATTTTAAGATGAGTAAATATCAAATTATCCACCCATATAAGTAAAAATTTAAATTTAAGAGGGGCAATTACCTCGTGGACTCTACTTGATTCCTTATCTATATATTATGTATATGCATATGAAAAATAGATAAGTTGATTCAATGGAAACAATGGAACACATACAAACAAGCACATAAATAGGAGAAAATATTGCATCCGGACAACGAACATACAAATAACAGCATGTAAATCACATTATAGCGTCTAGCGTACGTCGTGATGCGACCAATGCCATCTTTTCTACACAATAAAGATGAACATCAACTTTTACAAGGGCGACCATAAATATATCACAAATATAGATGAGAAGAAACATAAATTTCTACATTCTTCTCAACGCCATTGTGAATAAGAGATCAGTGGCCAACACCAGGGCTATGCCCTGGAACTGATGGCCGAGCATCGTTAGTCCCCACCACATCACCATTATCAGCGCTATGATCTCCTTCAACTGAGCCCTCCACCGTTTCCCCTCCATTCTTTATCTCACCAGCTTCTTCTTCTTCTTCCAGCAGGCATCTCCTGCACCCAACGACTTCTTTCAAATGCCTTCCCTCAGTATAAGTGATGCACTCATGACCAAGAATGATAATGGCGAGCAAAACACAAATGCAGATTCGTTTAATGGTGCTTTCAGCCATTATCAGGTGTATGATGAGCTTTAGGAAAAGAAAGAAGAAGAAGAGGAAGGAAGAATATGATAATGGGAGATGATCTTGAGGAGATTCTTGATTCTTCCAAGCTCATGGAAACGAGGAATTTATAAAGGTGTTTGATAGTTGGCATGCACCAATTGAAAATCTTATTTTTAGCCACAAAGATCCCACTATTGAAAAAGGGATCGAAGCATCCATGTGAGCTTCAGTTTTTTTGTCAGGAGTTTAATTTGAATCTCTTACAATCATTCTCTTATGTCAGTTTCTTAACTCCATGTAACTCATTTTAGCTTGTTGGTTAAATTATGATTCAACTGGTCTGAACTTTCCAAGCTATCCAGCTTTCACCACCGTGTATTTTCATTATGAAAAAGTTACAAACAAAATGAAGTGCACATGCTGGAATACATATTAAAAAAAAATCTCAAAAAACTATAACCATCAGTCATTAAAAATTCAGATAAGGCACCTCATATAGTGTACCTAATAGAATAAAATATGAAACAAAACTTAGAATATTAGAATATGCTTATTCTTTAATCTATTCAATAGAAACAACTTACACAAAATGCATGCAACTCAAGGCATCAATTACCTTGCCGTCGACTCTGAGAAAATATTAGGTGTGTCATTCACACGCGTGGACCGCTACGTGTGTTGAATCACAAATTCTCTTTTGCTAACACACGTCCCGAGAGTTAGAGCTAATCGAAGGAGAACGAGAGAGAGAGAGAGAAAGAGAGAGAGAGAGAGAGAGTAGTGGGAGAAGGGATCCCTTAATTTATCGTTATGGAAAGAATGGACGGTTATGGAAACCATTTTTAATACAATGAATGTAATATCATATTTACATTATAACTGGAATGTGGTCCGATAGTGATTGGTGGATCGGCCTGCTTCGGCTCGATCTGACGAAGCGACCGACTGTGTGATGGTCCCTTATGCCTAGGTAGATCAGTTGGCTAGTCGAGATCGGTCGGACTTTTAGGAATCTTTGGTAGTTGGAGCCGTAAAGAAGTTCGTCGGATGGGTCCAGTAGTACTGAAGGTTGGTTGACTTGATCAGTTTGTTGGTTTTCAGTTGACCGGTTCGGATCAAACTCCTTGAATTTCAATGTTTTCATTGTTAAGCCGTCATTTTTAGTCATATGACTGCTCTGTGTTTCGTGCTAACAATTTTGGCGCATACAACTGGATTCAATTTGAGCAAGCTATTGTGCGATAGAATCCATGCCATCATCCGCACCCACGAGCATCCGCACCTAATATTTTCTCGTCAACTCCCGCATCATCTCTAAACAAAATAAATAAATACCACATTTAGCATTTATAAAATTCAATCTTAACTCTTTTGCGATTTCAATCTCAATTTTATTTTTTACAGACATTTTCATTTTTTTTAAATTAAAATAGTAATATTTTTATGTGTTATGAAAGATTATGGTAATATTAATGTAAAAATCAAAGTATGTTAGATACATAAATAAATATATAGGATTTTGGGAGGTATACATGTAAATACCCCCATTTAATTAGAAGTCTGCCAAGGGACAAGTAGCTCCAAACTTTTAGCTGTGAGCAACCTAATTAATGGTCATTAGACTAATGGCCAGTCCTTTTAAGTGCTGCCACTAATTACAGACTAACAGTCAGGATTTATAAATATAAATTTATATAACATTTGGTTCATAACAACCCCGTATCTCTGTGATTAAGAGAGACCACTCTTCTGTATTATTTAATGCATATCATCATATAAGATTCCATATGCAACATTTTAAATTAATATAGTCCATAGTTTAGGGAAGTGGACACTTTTGTTGCTTTCTTCTGTAATTTTTACAATTTATGTGAAAAATATTACAAAATTTCTGTCCTTTTTCGAAGTTCTGTATTAATTTAATATTAATTATATTAATATATAAATTATTACACCTATGGTTGGGCACGCTTAGCCGACAGGAATATTCATTAATAGGGATGAAATCAGGGAGAAAATGAGTGGCTCTCAACCACCTATATTTAAGAATAAATATTAAATAAATATGCATAATAT